TTTCTCCTAGAACTACTGAGAGCCGCACATGAACCCCATAGTGGATCAATATCTCATGCAATCTAGTAATAAACGCATTTTATTCAATATATTATTTTATTTCATTTAAATGTATCGCATTATTTATTACATTTCTTTATGTAAAGAGTTCAGCTGTTTCTGTTGCTTATTTTGCCAGTCAACACAACACATTCATTTGATGTTTCCCAAGAGTTGTGTTAACACAAAGTTGACGTTTAACTGAACTAAGTGTCCAGACTCTTCTCCACTGTAAAATGCCTCCCTTACATGAAATATCCATAAGAAGCTGAAACTTACTAAAGAAAAGCCTCGGCACAGCTGCTGCTGAAGGAGACTCCTATACCATATTCTCTTTGTTGAAAGTGTATATCACAGCTCCAAACTGCTTTAGCGCCTAACACACACTCATAAACTGAGAGGGTACGCTGCTGCCCAGTGCAGCTCACACGAGACCCTTCCTTCACAGAAGAAATTCACTCTACGCTGAGGCTTCATATTAAGACAGAGAGAGATTCAGGGAAGCAGAATGTGAAAAAATGACTCAATATCCTGAAAGTTTCAAAACAAAATCATAAATCATGAGGACCAAATCACAAAAAACAAGACCAAATCATAAACACCAACACACAATTTCAGAACATAAACAAATCAAATAATACATAAGAGATGACTGTAATACATCTGTAATAAATAATAAATAAACAACTGTAATACAGTAAAACTAATCTCAACACTGTCACAATAATAACTGAACATAATACAGATATATATACCCTGTGCCATGTCACAGTTTTTATATGAGTTGCTCACCATTTTTCATCACATTCTGCACACTACGAGAAAAGGTTCATGTTTTTTATTAACAATGTTCCAAGGCCAGGCAGAAAGAGGCCAAGGTCTATAAAAGTAGCAATAAAATCCAAATTAAATATATTTCAGAGCCATTCCAAAAGCAATCCTGTATGCTTGGTCGGTTACTGTTCCACTGCCTCAATCTTATCAACACCTCCAGTCCACAACAAAACTATGGTGCCATCTTTTGGTCAAAGTAAGTTACTGCACTGGGTTAATCACCACAGACCAATCATGTCCCTGTCTTAATGTTTATGCACCAGAGATGTAGCCTGAACGTGTTTTGTTGTACTGTATCCCTGTATATGTATAATGACAATAAAGTTGAATAGAAATGAAGAGAAAAGTAAGACAAGACTCCAGATATGTAAAAAAAGAACATGAGAGGAGACAACCGAATACAACAAAAACACATAACAAAAAAAATTTTTTATTAAATATACACAAGGTAGGCCACTGCCATGTTTTACAAGATAGCATAATACGATAAGCCCTAAGTCTCAGTTCATGCATCACTATATTCTTACAAAAAGCTATTTTAGTATGTAGTGTCTGGATTTTGGGCACAGCACCACTTAGCATTGAACACTAATGTTTTGCAATAATCAAAAATGACAAATTTCCATGCGATGCAAAAAGCCAATTTTAAAAACAAACATTTTGGTTATAAATAGTGGTGGCCTTGCTTGGTGCGCTGCTCATTCTTTTTCAAAATTTCAAACTGCACTGACAGCTCCACCACTTCCACTATGTACAGCATCCTGAAACTGATGAGCGCAACATTTCAAACTTCATTTATCAGAAATAGCAGAAAACGCTGGATTGGATTTCGGAGGGAAATAAGAAAGAATCTGATCCGATTCTAAGACAAATCTATCCTAAAATAGCACAAGCTCACATTGTGACATTAGCTGTGTGTTTCTTCCTGTGTCCTCGCAGACTATTTGAGTACTTTAAGCATGATAGCCTACTTTCACACACTCATCTTAAAGTCACAGGGGGCACAGAGTAAAATATTAAAAGTATTTTTATGATACTAAAATGGAATGTTATAAAAAACATCCAGAAAAGTTTGAATGAGGAAAAAAGACAAATGTGATAAAACATGCCTTAAAAATGGTCAGACAGATGCACAAACAAATGCACAAACAAATGAATGGACAGATAAAATGCTGGCATGACTGGTTGCATGAACAGACAACAGATGGGCTAGTTTGATAGCTCAGTTATGCTTCCTAGGTAAGCTATCGCTTGATTGTTAGCTTTCACTTGAGATCATGTCTGGGACAAACCTCATCAGCCTTGTGACTAGTAAGGGTACTGCTTATGTAAGCTTCACCCAAGATCAGGACTCCCCACTTTAAACTGAAATGAGAGAATTTTGACAAAATATATGAGTGGACTTTGGAACTAATTCATAGGGCATACATCTGTGGTTCTTGTCCATAATCAGGGTAAATACTCCATTCCACTGTGATTCCCAGAACACACCCCTTGCACTAAAAGTGGCTAGCACTCCACAGAAGTACTTGATTTCAGGCACATCTAAGAAAAGACTAAATAAATACTTAATGACTAAGCTTGTTTTGTAAGTTATACCGACTACACTGCTGAGACTCTGATGCTCTGTTCAACAGGCATCTTTAATCTCTGCACTGCAGCAAAACCTTCACACATGATATTTAGACATTTAGTACACATCGTGACTTTGCTGCTTTATTTTAAGAGCTGCATTTTCTTTTTCAGTCACCAATCTCTTAAGCTGAGTGTGTAACCTACTTAAGTTAGAGCTCTCCAACTCCCCCTAATGGTCAAAGAAGGTGCTGCTTTATTACCTTAAATGCCCTTCATGGCATGTGGGGCAGATGAGGGGGTGTAGGGAGCACGCTGTTACAGCATGCAGCACATACACCACTGACTCATCAGGAGTGCCCCAGAAAGCAAGCAGTAATTCTACGCAATGTTTCAAACCTTGTATAATCTGCTTTTATAAGATGAAATAAGACAGAATAAGAGAATGATGTAGTGGTATGCGCAAAATGTTGAGGTGCTGCTACAAGCAGAATGAAGACAAAGTGCAAAGTCATACCTCCAGCTTCTCAAGTCACATATATGCGTTTAACTTTGAAGTGGTAAATTATGGAGAAGATTACAAGCCAGATCATGAACAACTCATAACTTTAGGAAAGGTGAAACGCAATACGCAAACTTTTCATTACTTTTTTAATCAAAGATATGCTGATCATATAAAAGTGAAAAGCCAAACATTTATTACATTGTTGTAATATCAACTGACTGTTTTACTGAAAAACATACTCGCTTTTTAAGACTTAAATCTGAATTTGTGCAAGAAGCGAATATAATTCGCAAGCAACACTGCATTCTAATATGCAGCTTTCAACAGGCAAAACTAAATGTGAAATAATTGGTGGAAAAAGTACAGAGAAATTATACTTAAGTGAAAGTACTTTGTGACATTAGTTAGTCAAAATATTACTTAGTTAAAGGGCCCATATCATGGGAAACTGAATGTCCCTTGCTTTTTTTTTTGTCAATATGTACCATTCACTACCCTGTCCATATGGTCCATATATGAAAAATTTGCTGTACGAACAGCCTGTTTTGAATGAACTGGTTCTGTGATGTCACAAGAACCAAGTCATTTAAGCAATAGAACACGAGAGGGAGTGTGTTATCGCGACATAGCATCACGTGATGTTATTCACGATAACACACAACCTCGAGTGTTCTATTGCTTTTATACAACAGTTAAATAAATAAAGTAAGAAATTAATAAACTGGGCTGTTTCGGAATTTAGCGTAGTCTCATCTTCAGAGTCTGACCAAATTGGCTGTCGGTCAAATGTGATCTTAAAAGTATCCATTTTCTGTTTGTGGCAAAGTAAGAAGTGAAAACGTTCAAATTGCTTCAGCGTCTCCTACAGCTGTCAAAGTGATACAGTGTTTGTGAAAAACCTGTGATGTAATGGCAAAATATCAGCACAGTTAGAATGCTTCTCAACCAATCAGCTTGCGTGAACGGAACTAACTGTTGTATAATCGCATATATCCACCTATTCAGCCCACAGCCCTTTAATATGAGTGGGCGGGGCTATAGTTACAAGTCGTGTTCCAGCCCTGACTGCTTTTTGAATGAAGCACATAGAGGGCAGTCAATCACAACACAGATCATATATGTTACATCAGTCTTAAAGGCACAGCAACAAAAACAGCCTGTTTAATTCCAAGGGATAGAGAGAAGTTGAAAAACGGTCACGTAAAAATGAACTGTGACCATGTTTGACGCATCAATCCACACAAATGTTATAAGTGGACCTCAGAGTAGAAAAAATAAAATACAAGAAAAACGTGGGATATAAAAGTGAAAGTACGGTGGGAAAATATGCTTGAGTGAAAGTCTGAATACTGACATTTAAGCATATTTAAACATATGCAAGTAAAAAAGTTGGCCAAGCTGTTTTAACAAATAAAATGAAAGTTTTCTACGTTTGATATTGTGCATTGTAGTGTGGTGACTAATCAGTGGTACTAGTCCTCACATTTTGCACTGATTTGGATGTGGTTGGACATTTTAATAATAGGCTACTGGCTATCCCCAAGAGACCGGTCATTCCTACCAAACTGGATTCATTTTCTGCATCCCTGACTCAGCCGTTCAAGTACACTTCAGGTAAAATGCTTTGCACTGTATGTACGTACCACTATCTGCACTTAGTTCTGGCATACTGGTACAAATATTACGGTTGTAACCTTCCTGGTCACTTACATGTTACTGAAGCTATCAGTATTTTATCTAACCAACCAATACAGACTGTGGGCCAGTTCTCCTAAATGACTATCCGCAGTGACACTCCACTGAATGTCCTTTATGCTTAATTTGGGCCTGAAAAACCTTCCCTGAATGTTTAAACAGGCTTAAGCAAGACTGGACTAACTGTCCTGATCACTGACTGCTTGTACATTAAATGACTGATTGAATAAGTCATGGAGCGAAAAAATTCAGTTACGGACTGAATGAGTGAGGTTTAATGTACTGGACTCTGGAGTGGATGGACTGAAGATAGAGTGAGAAAGATGGACTGAAATGATAAAAATGAGCTACACACCTGGGTCTCCACTAGCCGTTAGCGCCAGAGTTTTTCCTGGATCAGCTGACCTGTCTGAGAAAGAGAGAGAGAGAGAGAGAGCAGGTCAACACAAGCTTAGCCCATTCTGATAGGAACTCAAATAGGCTTCAGAAGAGCCACCTGATCCACCAGGCCATCGCTGCTTCAGGATGATGGCCTGCAACGTGCTTAGCAACAACACTATTCCACTCCTGTCTTGAAATGTAAAACAAAAGTCTACCTCTGTGCTGCTACAGCTACAGGGCCACACCAGTCAGCAACCCTCTGATGCATTAAAGCCTTAGAATAAGTTCATGTAGGATTAGAATCTCTCTGTCAGACAGAGTTAGAATTAAGAAGCAGACACATAAAGTACTGCTAGCACAAATGTGGCCTGTGAGCTGGGTGCAACAGGCAAATCAGTTCTCCACCAGGATCTGTCTTAAAGCCAGCATGGCCACATCTTTGAAAAAAGACACACTTCAAATCACCCATAAAAGCCAGAGTTCACATTAAAAGCTTTTTATTTGAAGAGCAAAAATAACAAGTCCTCTGCCCAAAGCCACAGACCGAGGCGAAGGATTTCAGAAGAGGCAAGAAGAGAAGGAGAAGGAAAAGAAAAGGAAAAGAAAGCTGAGAAAGACTGCTGAGTAATAAATTCTCTACTATGCAGTCTTGATATGGAGCCTAAGCTAACATCAATTTAGCCTTCACAGCAGTAAGCAATACGCCTGCAGCCTCTGACTTTTCATTCATCATTTTCACTCCTCAGTGCTAGCCTTTAGGGGGCGCTCTACCTGTTAACAAAAACCTCCCTCTCACAAACACTCTGTGACTATTTTTAGACTGAGGGAAGCATTGCTCAAATAACAGTTACATGCTGGGATTTTATTCCACACATCTACAGGTTTAACGGCACATAATTTCAGGTTTGATACAACTTTTAATTCAGAAGTGATTCAATTCAATTTTGCATATTTACTGTGTTCAAACATCTTAATTCTAGAGAGCTCTACACTGTAAAAATGGTTCGTCAATAATGACTTTGTGTGGTTATTAACTGGTTTCATTCAACTCAATCTAATACTTAATGAACCAGTGTAAGGCAGAATAAATAACTTAGATGAATAATATTTTACATCAACTCAAACATCAAACCCATTTCTACCCTGTTCCGTTTGTACAGCATAATAATGTACTGAACAGATTGGTTTGCCTCATATTGGTTAGAGTGTGGTTGTGCACATAGCATATGCCACACCCCTCTCTGTTCCCTTTACTCTGTACTCAGATGTCTAATTCTGATCATTGACAGTGTTTTATATGACAGACTGCAAACAAAAGACCCCCTGAAGACCGATGGGAGTATCACCAATATCACTTCTTTTTTCCCCCCTCTCAATACTGAGCTGAAACTGTTATACCTTTCTTGAATATCTAAACAGAAAATAAGAGTTGATGCACACAGTCCAAGAACATAATCTGTATTACAAAAGAGGCTCACTGGCTTGAGCACAAATAAAGACAATGCTCAAGGACATCAGTAGGTTCTGACTCTGCAAGACATAATAGGTTTTACAATTCTGTGCAACATCTTTATCTTTACACAGTGGTATACAAAAGTTTTGAACATCCCAAATCAAATGTCGTGTTGCTTTTCTAAGTGAAAATAAGTTAAGATTTTTCTGCCCTTTTACTGCACAATTGGAGTTTCAAGAACCCACATTCTACATTATGTTGATTTTTTTCCCTGAGGCCCACTTCATGTTTTTATCTATCAACAACAGCCCTAATTCATTTTACATAATCCTTTTCCAACCAGTTATTATGCCTTACAATTAAATAGGCTGTACTTGTTTTAGGCTGATACACGTAAATGAGCTCTGTTCTGTTTCGTTGCCTGTATTATGCCTCATTCAAAAAGCAGTCCAGCCTGAAACACTGCTTATAACTTCAGTGGGGTTAAACCACTGTAGGCTGAATGGGTGACATCACAAAAACAATAAAACAGGCGGCTTTGTTTCCATGCCTGGACTGTCGGGACTGAGAGTGAGTTTTAGGTTCTGAAACTAGCAATGTCTACATACTATATCCAACTTTTTTATTCCACAAAAAATATTGGTTTTCCATGATGTGGGATATTTAACGTATTGGAAAAATAAACTGTAATTGTGTATTAAAACGTGCAGACGTGTTCTCTATAGAAGAAGTGTTAACTTTTTTTCACTCAAAAAATGATGTAATGTGACCAGGCCATCCAAACTTGTGTATGACTTTCAGTAATATACATATGTTTTTGGGAATTACCCTTTTTCAGTGTGTGTTACAGTGATGTTAGGAGCAGCTTTCTCTACTTGGATGATTATGGCACAGATTAAGATGTCTTTAAGTAATTCAGAGGGTGATTAAAAGCAGCAGTGTGCACTAGAAGTGCTAGTCTGCAGGCAAGCAGCAGCATGGCCCTCTATCCTGAAGGGTCCTGTGGGGACACACAGGGCTGTCCTCATTAGTGCCTGCCGTGAGAACACACCCTCTCTCTGTCACGCAGAGGGCCACCATGGCTAACAAGCACAGCCTCTGACCGGAGGCCCAGGCTGCCAAACACGCACACACAGTGTGTGTACCTCATGCTCCCTGTTGATCGCATAGGGTTAGAAACTGACTTTAACCTGAATTGTAATGACGGTGGTTTCACAATCGCTGAAGTCTGTCAGCCTTCAATTACTCACAATATGCTAGCCATACTTAAAAAAACGCCTTGTAAGACATTATAATTGTTAATATTAGCACCGGTCAATAACTCAAATAGGTCTTTCCAAAATTATATGAATAAAAACTGAACTTAACAATTCTAAAATTGTGATATCATGCAATCCAAACATAAGTGCAAATTGCAATGATGTATCTTGAGAAACTGCAAGAACAGTAATATTTAAATTGTTGATGTTTTAGCAACAATGAAGAACAAGCTGAAAACAATACAGTACGTATAAACAATAAACCAGGGCTGCTCAAAGTGGAGACTGCAGGTCAAAGCTGTCTGATTTAACCCACTAGAAAGCTGCCTAAGACCCCACTCCCTCAACCAATGACGGAACACAAACTTAGCTTCTTACTTTTCATTTAAACTTTTTTAGTACTTTTAGAGAAATTCATACAGTCATAGAAGCCTATAAACCATGACACTGTAATATTGTCTTGCAATGTATATGTTACAAAAGGTGTAGCTAACACACCTGGTACATGGACAAGAAGAGATTTAGAGACCACTGGTATGTAGAATATCTTATGTTTAAAGTGAATTTAAAGTGCTTTGTATGAACGAAGCCAATAGAGTATTTAAAAAAAAATTAAACTGGGCCAAAAATAAAAAAATAAAATAAAATAAACAAATTAAATTATTTTTTTTTCATAATATGTATTAATATAAATATAAAATATAAATGCAAAACTGTCATGGTGCATCTTATGAGATGACAGAAGTAGAATAACATTTTTTGAAACAATGAATTTAAAGTGGTGTATATTACAATAAAATGAATACAAAAATGATTACAATGAGTTGAACACACAAATCAGCAGAGGGAGCGAACAAAAATCTCAAGCACTGATTTTGACCAGAAGGAGGCGCTGTTACTCTTTTTTTTCTTTCTTATTCAGCTTCCATTACTACCACCCTGCTGGTGCACCAGACGAGTCACAACAACAGGCTTTTAACTCATTACATGACAATTAGCCTTCTGCTCACCATATTCCCAAATGGTGGCACTGCATTATCAAAATTAGCTGATTCTAAGTCACTCATTTGAATGAGCCAGTCTGACTGGGGAGAGAAGTGTCCAGCTTACAGCCCGCTAACACTGCCTACATCAGCTTTCTCTGTGGTTGGGACAATGGGGGATAATGTGTTTAGCTGTCTAATAGACTTCTGTAGCTCCCTCATCAAGGCCTCGTTTATCTGGGCTGGAGCAAATAGTGTGTGATGGCTGGACAACAACCTGCGGACTGAAGCACCAAAGGGCCAAACACACTTGGGGGCAGCCTATGAGAGATGAGAAGAGGGGGACAGCCAAAGAGGAGCCGTAGGAGCTCAAGGGGAGGAATGTGCGTGACTGCAATTTGCATTAAGTACTATTGTGTAAGCTAAAGTCAAACCACTCTGGAGGAGACATTTACTCGAGACAGACAATCAGGCGGCAGGACCCTCAGCACGACTGAAAGGGACACAGAGGTCACAGAAGCCTGAGCGTGGCTAAGTGTATTAGGAGTTCTTTAAACTTGTATAATTAATCACCACCCTTCAGATATACATGTCCATCAAAAGTTTAGGGACACCTTGCCACTTTCTGACATCTTCCTATTAGGTTTGCTATTAACGTTTGACTTTTACTGTTACTTTCAATTAAAGACAACCTGAAATTAAAACTGACCTTTTTTGCCTTGTTAGTTTATGTCATTTCAAGCTCAGTATATCATATCATAACTATACCAGAACAGACAATGTTCTTGTTTTCCCATAATCTTTGATCAAAGTAGAATGACTTTTGCTTGTCTTCTGATTTTTTTTATTACATTACCATAAAGAAAAATAATATTAACCAATAATATCATGTTTCAGCTCCCACCAGCTCCATCCATCATCGAGTGAGAACACTCAGCTAGAGACCCTCCCTGATACTATGTGATACGTCACAAAGCAGAATGAAAATGTGTTTTAATTTCCATTTCATGTTGATTTAAGTAAGTAAATCATACCCGCAAAGACATAATTAACATAAAATATCTATTTATCAACTCTTTTTGCAGCTTCATACTAATCAAAGTATATTCCTTGGTATGAAAAGTAGGTTCTGCCTAAGTAATGACAGCTTTCTTGTCCAAACTACTGTTAAAAGCATGTGAGGAAAAAAAAAAAGTGGCTAAAACACTAGAAAGTGTTCATGAGAACTGCAAGGCTATAAACATGTGGGTTATATCATTATTCCCAAGCAGTACTGTCACAAATATTGTCAAACATTTACATGTGCGATGCTGTCTTCCTTCAAATAAACCAC